CACAGTGCCTGGCCCCTCATTTTCAAACATAAAGCACACCTAGCTCTGTCTCAGTGAGTACACTCTAGGACCGTGATCCTAGCAAGGCGGCCGTGTTGGGGCTGACAGCAATAAAAAGCTCACCTCTAGCTTGGCATCCAGGTCTGCATCAGAGGCAACAACATGTTCATCTTCCTTCTTCCCTGTGGCTTTAATAAAGGCCTGCTTTGTTTCCCAATACTTCTGTTGCATCTTATTTACAACTGATTTATCTTGAGGATATCGATCCTGTAAGTCCCAGGGATAACTGCTAAAAAAATTTCAAGAGCTGTTTTATTCACAACTTTCATAAAGGTTAAGATATTTTAGTGTGAAATGATTTATTTCAACATGACTTTCTGTGACATATTTACATTTACAACCTTGATAAACATAGGAGCAATTTCTTCTATGGGTATTACACTAAGAAAGTTAATTAACTCTTTCTGACTCCAAAACCTTAAAAGTCAGAGTGGAGAAATTTAGAATCTTTTGCAGGAAATAAAGAAGCTAACCCTTGAAAAGAATGTAGATATCAACAGATTAGGCACACCCCTTTTAGAGGTGGAGAAGGTGAGGTCAGGTCAGACAGGGTGACTGGCCCAAGTCACCTCAGCGAATCACAGATAAAGCTAGACACCAACACACTCCCTCCACTCTAATACTACAACCAGCACCGAGGTGATGGCAGAAAAGCAGAGATAAGAGGCTGAAGAACAGCATGCTTGAGATCTATTATGCAGGATTCGAAAATAGACTCAGAGTCAGAGAGTAGAATGGCGGTTACCAGTGGCTGTGAGGTAGAAGGAAATGAGAAACTGCTGTCCAAGGGGCACAAAGCTTCAGTTATGCAAGATGAATAAGCTCTAGAGATCTCCTGTGTGACATGGTGCCTACTGTTGTTTTTTTTTGAGATGGAGTTTCATTCTTGTTGCCCAGGCTGGCGTGCAATGGCATGATCTTGGCTCACTGCAACCTCCACCTCCCAGGTTCAAGCAATTCTCCTGCCTCAGCCTCCTGAGTAGTTGGGATTACAGGCATGTGCCACCATACCCAGCTAATTTTTGTATTTTTTTTAGTAGAGATGGGGTTTCACCATGTTGGCCAGGCTGGTCTCGAACTTCCGACCTCAGATGATCCTCCTACTTCAGCATACCAAAGTGCTGGGATTACAGGCGTGAGCCACCACACCCAGCCCCATGGTGCCTATTATTAACAATATTGTATTATGCACCTAAAATTTAAGAGGATTGACTTCATGGTAACTGTTCTTACCACAATACAATAAAAATAAAATGAATTTAAAATTGGTTGCAGGCTTCTGATAGTAAAATCTTTAGCCGGGCACAGTGGCTTATGCCTGTAATCCCAGCACTTTGGGAGGCTGAAGCTGATGGATCATTAAATGGTCAGGAGATTGAGTCCATCCTGGCTAGCACGATGAAACCCTGTCTCTACTAAAATTACAAAAAATTAGCCGGGCGTGGTGGTATGCACCTGTAGTCCCAGCTACTCGGGAGGCTGAGGCAGGATAATCACTTGAATCCAGTAGGCAGAGGTTGCAGTGAACTGAGATCACAACACTCCAGCCTGGCGACAGAGCGAGACTCTGTCTCAAAAAGAAAAAACAAACAAAACCCAAAAAACTTTAAACTCTTCAATATAAATGCTTAAAATGTAGATGGAAAGCCATTTTTCAGGAGGATTATAGTGAAGACCAAATCAAAAAGTATGTGAAGAAATTAGAAACTGGCCAGATGTAGTGGCTCCTGCCTTTATTCTAGCATTTTGGGAGGCCCAGGCTGGAGGATTGCTTGAGGCCAGGAGTTTGAGACCAGCCTGGGCAACATAGTAAGACCCCATTTCTACAAAAATTTAGCCAGGTGTAGTGGCATATGCCTATGATACAAAGCTACTCAGGAGACTGAAGTGGGTGGATTGTTCAAACCCAGGAGTTTGAGGCTGCAGGAAGCCATAATCATACCACTACACTTAAGCCTGGGAAACAGGGTGAGACCCTGTCTCTGAAAAAAAAAGAAAAGAAAAGAAAAAAGAGAAAAGAAATCAAAGTAATTAAAAAATGAAATGGAATTGTGTAAAAGTGATTTGAGTACCTCAAATATGGCTAGAAAGTTTGCTGATGGAGTTCCATCCCTCCCCTTGCTTCATCCACATCCTCTTCGACCTAGAGTTCCTGCCTCAAAGGGCTCCCTGGCCCCCCAGGCAACTCTCCTCTGTGGAGATGTACCTTCTTCTGTCCCTTCTCATCACTACCCTAAATGTACCAGGCTTGTGCTGAAACATGAGTTGGTTTATATGACTATATCAAAATACCAGTATCTCAAAACCTGATGATTTATACTTTCCTTCCAAGTTAATTAAATTTACAATTTTCGATTTGCACATTTATTCTTAAAAAGTCAGAAGGCATTTCTGATCCTTACAAATGGTTATCTTTGGAGAGAGAAGCAGGATTATGGGAGACTTTCATGGTCTACTTTATATCTTTCTGTATTATTTAGAAGTCATATTATGAGCTCACAGAAAGGAAAATAAGATGAAATACATATAACACTTATATAAAAGATAATCTCTCTATAGAATATGCATATTAAAAGGCTGGAAGAATATACTCCAAAGACTGATTATTTCAGGGGAATGGGATTCTCAGGAGTGGGACGTGGAATGGACTTCTTTGTATTCTTTTTTTCTTTTTTGTCAAAGATCATGGATTAACAGGGGGAAAAAAGCCTGTTTGGAAAATAAAAGAGACTTCAGAAATCTAGTGAACACCCCTTACCCACTATCATTTAACAAATGAGGAATCTTATATTTCAAAAGGTTAAGAATCTTGGCCAAAGTCACACAAGAGTGAAATCCAGACCTCCAAATCGCAGTCCAGTGCTCATTTCAATGTATTCTGCAGCCCCTCCATTTCAGCAGCAGGCTGTGGAGTAAGTGGGAGAAAGGATTTGGGAAAGGACCCACTTCTTGGGGCTGTCCAGTCTCTCTTAGGTGAGTAACTATTAATACTTCTTTGAGCCTGCTGCCAGGATATGACAACCAAGGAGTGTCCCAAGATGGAGCGAGCCTTTGTCATAATGAGGCAAGTTGGAACAACTAAAAGTGTAAAATGTCTGACAGCTCTTAGAGAACTGTCAGCTGGAGATTCTAGGGACTTTTTTTTTCTCTTTTACTCAGGGAAATTAAGTCCTTTAGCCATTTATTAATTACTTTAAAAAAGCGATTACATTTTAAGACATGTAAAAATTATTTTGAAGTCTGACATTTGATATCATAGAGGACTTGGGTATGTTGCTTCTCTACAGAGAGGGGAGGGGTTAAAAAGTGTATTTTTGGCCAGGCATAGTGGCTCATGTCTGTAATCTCAGCACTTTGGGAGGCCAAGGTGGGTGGATCACTTGAGGTCAGGAGTTTGAGACTAGCCTGGCCAACATAGTGAAACTCTGTTTCTACCAAAAAAGCAAACAAAAATTAGCCGGGCATGGTAGTGCACACCTGTAATCCCAGCTACTTGGGAGACTGAGGCAGGAGAATTGCTTGAACCTGAGAGGAGGAGGTTGCAGTGAGTCGAGATCACACCATTGCACTCCAGCCTGAGTGACACAGCGAGATTTTGTCTCAAAAAAANAAAAAAGTTGTATTGATTGTAATTAACTGTGCATTAAAAAAATATGTAACACATTTTTTTCATGATACAAGTTAAAGAAAATAAAAGTTCACAAAGATCTACTTGCTTGGTGGGTCATGGGTTCAAAAGAATTTGGAAACACTGCTTGAAGTGCTCTGGACCTTATAAGAGGTTTACAATGCTGCTTAGATATGTTAGAGGCACATAAATGTCCGTGGTAACATTGCCCTATGGTTATCATATCTACTTTATTTAGCATCATTTACTTTTGACAATGATTGGCTCCTGAATGTCCAGGATGGTTGAAGTCATGACTATAAAATAATAAGTGTGAGTAGTGTGTGGTTGTAGAGTCATTCTTTATTTTATAGCTGCCCTAACATAAAATTCCCTTGTAACTCTAAGGTTATAAATTATAAATAAGATACTAATAAAAATGCATCAAATCATTACATTAGACAAAATGGTGGTAAGAAAAACGATCATTAGATTCCCAAGAGAAAAGTTATACATACGTGAATCTTTTAGAGAATGAGCATTAGATAAGAATTTACAATATTTTTTCTTACTTGGTTTTCACACCATATTTAACAGGGATATTGAATTTGGCTCAGCATTGGTGAGGGCTAACATGATACTTACTGCTAGTGTACCACTTGTTTTTCCATTCAATAAACATTTATTGAGCATATGCTATATGCTTTCTATTTTCATTAACCTTTCCCAATTTAATAAAGATGAAAAATTACTTACCATTTGTGTCCTGACATGTTTTCTTCTTCTTTTTCTACTGTTGATGATTTGGGGAGAAGGGGCAGGAAAAAAGCATGAGAAGATAAGTTATATTACAACCTGAAATAAAACAAATATGTTTAACAGTTACACACTATATTATAGTTACACATTAATTTGACACACATAAAATGCTTCAATATAAGCCATTTCTAGCTGTATTTTAGGGTCCAACACTATTACACAGTAATGCTACACACGAGTGATGACAACAGTATAGCTAAGTAAGACTGGAAGAAATATCCCAAGTAAAGTTTAAAAAGTGAACAGGCAGGTTGAATGAAAAAGCAGGTTGCAGATGACTATATAAAATATAACACCATTTATATAGAGCTTTAAAATATGTAAAACAGTACTCTGTGTTGTTGAGGTATAAAATATTGTCTGGTAAAGGTATAGAGAATTGCTTAGCAATGATGAACACTAAGTTCCAGACAGCACACAAATGCAGGAGATGGTGTGGATGTGATTCAAGAGAGATATACAGTGGCTTCAAGTGCACACATAATGTTCTCTTTGTTAAGCTGGGTGGTGAGTATACTGTATCTGTATACCTCTTTATAGATTTGAAATAGTTTATAATCAACAATTTTAAAGAAACAAACCAGCACATTGCCAAGACAAAAACAAAAATAGAACAAAATTAAAAAACCTCAACCAAAAACCAAAAAAGAGTTGATAGGCTTGAATAAGATACCAAGAAGGGTACAAAGTAGGAAAATATGTATCTACCAGCCTAGCCTTGTATATTTATCTCATTAGTAAATACTGGAGTCACTTAATGTCTCTGCCCTGACTCCATCTGCTCCACTCATGGAAGCTAGCCCACCAGCCCAGCCAAATTAGCCCACTTGCCTAGCAGTCCCTGGAAAGAACAGAAAGCTCACTACCCAAAACAATGGTCGCTGGCCAGATACAAAACTTCGGGCTGCCATAGTGAATGCTCACAGCATATGAATGCTCAGACTGCTTCACAGAATCAATCCAATCATTCTCCTTTGGTCTCAGAAAGGGTCCTGGCAACCAGTACTCCTAAAATGATTAAAGATTTCCTAGGCTATTTAAAAATGTTTCAAGTGAACAAAATTAAGGTGTGGAAATCCCAGGCTTCAGGTATGGGGACAAGAGAAAGGACGAAGAGAATTTTCAGAGTTGTCAGTTGCCTCTGAAATGACAACATACTGTAATGAGCATCTCTCTTCCTTGTGGAGGGCATCCAAATATCTGGACAATCTGGTTTGGGAATGACATTCAGGGTGAGTACGCTCTGCCCTCCACTCAGTGCATCGTGGGGAGGCTACCGATTCCCAGTCCTCTTACCACCCACACAGCTTCACTGTAAGTACACGTTTACTTCAGTTAGCTTAAAATTTCCAACAAAATTTCTCATAAAAAGAGGTAGTTCAAAGGAAATGGAATTATCATGCTCTTCTCTTGAGTTCAATATCACCATGAACTATTAGGATAGTTGGTACTTTTTAATTAGTTTTTCTATTTTAGTAAAAAAAAATGTTCATTCTTTCAACAATTTAAAAGTGTCCAGTATAGTAGTGCTAACAATATGCACACTGTTGTACAACAGATCTCTAGAACTTTTTCATCTTGCATGACTGAAATTCTACACCCACTGAACAACTCCCCATTTTCCCTTCCCCCAGTCCCCAGCAAACTCTATTCTACTTTCTCATTCTATGAATTTGACTACTTTAGATACCTCATAAAAATGCAAACATGCAGTATTTGTGTTTTGTGATTGTCTTATTTTACTTAGCACAATGCATTTAATGTTCATCTATGTTATAGTATATGACAGCACTTCCTTCTTTTTTAAGGTGGAATAATATTGCATTGTATATATGCAATGTTTTATACATGTACATACACACCATTTTCTTTATCCATTCATGTGTCAATGGGCATTTAGGTTGCTTTCACATCTTGGCTATCTGGAATAATGCTGCAACCAACACAGTGCACAGTTAAGTTCTCACTTAAAGTCATTGACAGGTTCTTGGAAGCTGCAACTTTAGGCAAAATGATGTACACCAAGTCCTGAAAAACACTGTTTCGTTATAACGTTAATGAGAAACAACAGTTTATGTCATTTTGCCTAAAGTTATCATTTCAAAGAACTTATCGATGACATTATATGAGGACTTCATGTATCTCTCTGAGATCCTGTTTTCAATTGTTTTGCATAAATACACAGAATTTGGACTGCAGGATTATATGGTGGTTCTATACTTAATTTTTTGAGGAACCTCCATATTGTTTTCCACAGCAGCTGCACCATTTCAAGCCCACTGACAGTACGCAAGGGTTCCACTTTCCCTACATCCTTGTCAATGCTTATTTCCATTTTTTAAAATAATAGCCATCCTAAGCATTGTGAGGTGATATCTCATGGTTTTGGTTTCCAATTCTCTGATGATTAGTGATACTGTGCATCTTGGCATATTTTTTGGCCATTTGTATATTTTCTTTGGAGAAATGTCTATGCAGGTCTTTAGCCTATTTTAATTTTATTTATTTTTTTTTATAGAATAGTAATTGGTTAAATATGGGATACATGTGCATGAAGGGAGACAGTTTGAGATGAGCCATGGGAATGGAATGTTTCATCATTTTTATTTCTTTTTTTTTTAAATTTAATTTACTTTAGGTGCATAATATATCTGGCATTTCTCCCCATGTTATCCCTCCCCACCCACCCACCCCCCACTGTCTCTCCCCTACCCGCCCAACTGCCCCCAGTGTGTGATGCTCCTCTCCGAGTTCACAACTTGTCGTTCAACACCCACCTATGAGTGAGAACATACGGTGTTTTAGCCCATTTTAAAATTGGGTCATTTTGTTGTTATTGACTTGAAGGAGCTCTCTACATAGTACAGATATTGATCCCTTATCCAATATACGGTTTGCAAATATTTCCTCCTATTCTGTAGATTAGCTTTTTACTCTGTTGATTATTTCCTTTACTATGACTTTTAAATTTTTGCTTATTAAAATACCTATTAATTTAAATCCTTCATAGTGTAAGTTCTTATAATATGTGTTATTTATAGTTACAGATAACACAAATTGCTGAGCAAATTGCTCCTTCTACCTAGATTTCCAGGCTATTCCCAGATGATGATACCATATGGTAGTGTTCCTCAAGGTATTGTTTACAAGCCATTTGCATTGAAATCTTCTGGGGGTACTAATATACAGAATCCTAGACCCCATACCTTTCCTAGTGAACTAGAATCTCTGGAAATGATTCTGGGAATCTAGTTTTATAACAGGCTTTGCAAGTGATTCTTAAGCACATTAAAGTCTGAGAACCACAGCTAAATGGCACACCAGGAAAATTCTTTCTGGAAATGAGTCTTTCTTGAACAAACTACTGGATTATAGGCATGGGAGTAAAAGAATCATAAGTGGCCAAAATAAGGTCAGGTCTACAGGGTACTTCTGAATGTCTCATTAGAAGGCAGCTGGAGCCAGTGCTAACTAACATCTCTTTTTATATATGTTCTAACTCTATACACCAGAGACAATTAATACATATCTTAATATTTCTTGACACAAATCTATTTCGTTTTGCTCTATTACTTTCCAAATCCACAGCATCAAAATCATTACAATCGTCATCCATTCATTTCAGTTCAACAGTTTAGTTTATCAGACATGAACTGAGCATTTAATGAATATGTGCCTGTCACTCTTCCTGGCCTCAAGTACAGATCAGGTCTGTCTAATAGAAATATACTGTGAGCTACATATGTAAGTTTAAAGGTTCTAATAGCCATGTTAAAAAATTTAAAAACAGTGAAATTAATGTTTATATATTTTATGTAACCCAATATATCTAAACTACTATTTCAATATATAATCAGTATAAAAATGACTGATATATTTTACATTAATATTTTTGTACCAAGTCTAAAATATAGTATCTTATACTTTTCAGCAAATCTCAATTCACACTAGCCATATTAAGTACTCAAGAGCCAAATGGGGTTAGTAGATACCATATTGAACAGTGCTAGTTTAGCAGTAAAGACAGATACATAATTTCCAGAATCAGGAGAGCCTTGACATTGGCGATGGACATATAATAATGTCTCCTTAATGAATCCCCAAATTTGTAAGTTCTGCTGTAAAAATATTTTCTCTGTGAAATGGAATACAGTCCATGATTAGCTAAAACTTCATGATTCTGCAAAAGAAGCTATTTCTCCACTTCTGCCACAAGGCACTTATGAAGCAAGCCCAAAGTGAATGGTGTCACATCTGCAGCTTTTTAATGACACTGAAAAGACATCCTAAAGATCTTCTTGTGGTCATCTTACCTTGGGAGATAAGCAAAGAAGGGCAAGTATGAAGACGCTTAGGGACTGTGAGTACCATGATATTGTCACAGTCAGCACAACTTGATCACATGAATGTGTATGTTTTACAATTAAACTGTTTCCTCAAATAAGACAAAGCAGTGGCACCAATAATTAAGATCTGCTCAAAGAAGCAGAGGCCCAAGGGTTAATAGATCAATAAAAAGCAAGTTTCTAATTTTGATATAACAACCCTAGTAGTGTGGGAATGAGTTGGTGAGAAGGCGGCTCTGTGTCTAAGGCAGAAATAAAAAGGAAGGAAAGGCAACTTCCTGCTCAGATGTAGAACTGCTGTTGAGGTCAGCACCCTTTTCTTAGGTGATGCTAAACCCTTTAGATTTTCCCAGGCTGTACCTTGATGTGGTTGCAATATATTCACCTTATGGTCCAACACCAGGCATTAAAACTACTGTTCTCAGCCACATCCATTGAACTGAGAAACCACCTTGCTCTGTGGGAAGAATTGAGAGAACAGGGGGGAAGGACGCTTTGTCCAGGTTTTATGTTGGGATTCTATGCAATAACTATGCTCATTTTTCCTCTTTATATATGCTTGCTGTGCTGAGTCCTCAATTTTATTCCTCTATGTAGATGGGCAAAAGACTGCAACAATCATCCAACTTGTCATTACTTGCTAGAGCCATTTAAAAACCACTTTAGAGGGCTAATATCCAGAATCTACAAAGAACTTAAACAAATTTACAAGAAAAAAACAAACAACCCCATCAAAAAGTGGGTGAAGGATATGAACAGACACTTCTCAAAAAAAGACATTTATGCAGCCAACAAACATACTAAAAAAAGCTAGTCATCACTAGTCATTAGAGAAATGCAAATCAAAACCACACAGAGATACCATCTCATGCTAGTTAGAATGGTGATCATTAAAAAGTCAGGAGACAACAGATGCTGGAGAGGATGTGGAGAAATAGGAGCACTTTTACACTGTTGGGGGGAGTGTAAATTAGTTCAACCATTGTGAAAGACAGTGTGGCGATTCCTCAAGGTTCTAGAACCAGAAATACCATTTGACCCAGCAATCCCATTACTGGGTATATAAATTAAAGGATTATAAATCGTTCTACTATAAAAACACATGCACATGTATGTTTGCTGTGGCACTGGTCACAACAGCAAAGACTTGGAGCCAACCCAAATGCCTATTGATGATAGACTGGACAAGGAAAATGTGGCACATACACACCATGGAATACTATGCAGCCATAAAAAACGATGAGTTTATGTCCTTTGCAGGGACATGGATGAATCGGGAAACCATCATTCTCAGCAAACTGACACAAGAACAGAAAACCAAGCACTGCATGTTCTCCCTCATAAGTGGGAGGTGAACAATGAGAACACATGGACACAGGGAGGAGAACATCGCACACCGGGGCCTGTCAATGGGTGGGGGGCTGGGGGAGGGATGGCATTAGGAGAAATACCTAATGTAGATGACAGGGTGATAGATGGAGCAAACCACTGTGGCACATGTGTAATTATGTAACAAACCTGCATGTTCTGCACATGTACCCCAGAATCTAAAGTATAAAACAAACAAACAAAACATTTTAGGCTGGGTGTGATGTCTCATGCCTGTAATCCCAGCACTTTGGGAGGCTAAGGCAAGTGGATCACTTGAGCCCAGGAGTTTGAGACCAGCCTGGGTGAACATGACAAAACCATGTCTCTACAAAAAAATAATAATAAGAAGAAATTAGCTAGGTGTGGTGGCACATGCCTGTAATCCCAGGTACTCAGGAGGCTGACATGGGAGGATCAATTAAGCCCAGGAGGTCAAGGCTGCAGTGAGCCATGATGGAGCTACTGCATTCCAGCCTGGGTGACAGAGTGAGATCCTGTCCCAAAAAAGAAAAGACAAAAGAAAAAACCAAAACAACCCATTTTGAAAAACTGGACAGCCTGGCCGTGAATAAGCTATGCATAAAGTATTTTCCTAACACTCAAAGGTACATAGAATGTTAAAACAAGCCAGATTCTAAGTACAGAGTTTGAGTCACTGCTACAGAGTAGAGAGGAGTCAGTTTCTCCCTAGCTGCCTTGAACCCAGACACTAGATTCTTCTTCTTAGAAATATAATCTAAGAAGGTACTTTCATTCCACATAAGCTGGCTTCAGCTGCAATGAACGCTTGTTCTGACCTAGAACTCTTTTTCCATGCACTTCCTCAAGGCAGTGAAGTTAGCTGATGGAACTCCTGATCACTTTTGAATTATGCAAAGAATCTAAAGTTCTTGAGCCAATCCTTGTTCAGAGTAAAGGTAAGATCAGTAGTCATTCCACTATATTGGTATTCTCAACCCACAAAATTTGACTAGTTTTCAATATCTTTTCTTTCATACACTAAAACACATCAGGCAGTAACTGGGTAAAACTCAAATGTAGTTAACTTTTCTTCAGAGAAGCAGAGATGTGTACCTTCTTGTCAGTTTATTAGATCAACTATTTCTTTTTAATATGGAACTGGCTTCCTCTTGAATCATGTTTCCTAAGCACATCCGGTTACCTATGCAAAGACTCATGTCTCAAATTAATTACCTTTACAATTTTAGTGGTAGAATTTTCTCTTCCATTCAGTGCATAGCTCTTCTGTTGCTCGGAGTCCCAGCTGAAACTGAGTCCAGAATCCCTTTTTCTTGTGTCTGTACTGAGCATATGGTGGAGTCTCTTGAATTGCATATCTGAACCAATGCCAAATTTATCATTTTCCTCTTATTTATTCATAATTTCTATTTTCTATATAAAAATTGTCATTACCTTAGAGCTTTTCAGTTCTTTGGGAAGCGGAGGGCCATTTTTTTCCCCATAAGAAACACACTTTTTCAGACCAGGCGCAGTGGCTCACGACAGGAAGGAATCCTGGCACTTTGAGAGGCCAAGGGAAGGGGATTGCTAGAGCTCAGAAGTTTGAGCTCTAGCAACATGTTGAGCCCCTATCTCTACCAAAAATATAAAAAATTAGCTGGGCATGGTGGTGCGCATCTGTGGCCCTGCTATTCAGGAGGCTGAGGTGGGAGGATCGCTTGATCCGAGGAGGAGGAAGTTGCAGTGAGCTGAGATCATACCACTGTACTCTAGCCTGGGGGGCAGACTGAGATGCCCACCACTCCCTAAATGTCTCAAAAGAAAAGAAAATAAACACACTTTTCAGAACAGAACAGAGTCTTGCAATGATGTGGGTACAAAGTGGTACATTAGACACATCCCACGGTAAAATCACTCATTCCTAAACACCAGCTTCATGGCACCACATGCCGTGGAATCTAAGGTACAAATCTGTTCACATTCCAACATTCCTGTTACAGTCACTACCTTGTCACTTTTCTTTCTTCATGGAATATAAACGGTAAGATCTCCTGATCAATATTTTCTTATATTTGATGAAATGCAGAGTAATTCTTTAAAATCAAACCACAGTAAATTACACATCACTATATGCCCCAGACTTTCGTGGCTATTTGTATATAACTGAAAAAAAGAATCTGCCATCATGTTACATGTTGCCTGTGATGGGGCAAAATGCCATGGCAGAGGAAAGGGTCAGGGTTCGAGGGACACAGAGCAGAGGCACAGAGCTGGTTTTCCACACAGCCTCTGGGCTGAGTCTCTAAGAATTAGTAGTTGCTGGCGAGGCAAAGCCTAGAAGCATGGTGGGGAGGGAAGTGGTGTTATTCTAGGCAGAGGGAATGCAATGAACAAATTCTTCCACAACAGAACTGCCAGTGGTGTGTGTAACCAACCGTAAGCAGTTGTACATTATAACTTAAAGATGAGACATATGACAGGGTAAACAGAGGGGCCAGTCTCTGAAGCACCATGTGCCACCTTCAGCATTTAGATACACTCAGTAGCCACTGGAGGGTGGACACTCAATGCTGTTTATTTCACACTTGGTGGGCACCTTTTTTGTCCTTTGTTAGGGAGTTAGCTTTTGGACTATCCATCACAAATGTTGGAAGCTGGTGACATGCCTCTCAGATTTAGCTTTCCATTACATGATACTAATTTACATAACTTCTTCCTCATTCCATTTTCCTGTTATTTCAGAGATCAATTTCATCTGGAAATACGGCCAGTTTTCAGTATTTTATTCTTCCATACACTAAAACTTACACATCATGCAATAATTTTGTAAAACTCAAAATATAGTGAACTTTTCTTTAGAGAAGTGGAAATGTGTGCCTCCTACTCGGTTTATTAAACCGACTATTTCTTTTCAAATGATCTGAAGTGACAGCAGGTCTTTGGGTTTATTTCTCTCATGTGTAACTTAAGAACAAACAGAAGTCATATAATGTAGAGCCTAGAAAGAGATGAGAAACAACTGAATAAAGCCCCTTCCTTCTGAAATGGGACTTGTGATCCAGGGAAGAACAGGGCCTGAGAGCACAAAGCCAATCGTCCTCAGAGCCAGGGCTCCCACATGGCTTCTACACTTGCCTCATGAACAGAGGAAATACTGATTTGCCAGAGGTTTTAGGCACTAAGGTAAAAAATAATTGGATGTCTGTACATTTCTTTGGGCAAAGTATGTTTTCAGTATTTTTCCTAGATGTTTGTCTCTAGTCATTTCTTCTTATGTCAATAATGATTTTTATAATTTCTTATGGAAAGAAGTGTGTTTGAGTATAAATATTAAAATACTTTCAGTAGAAGCAGTGGAAAAAAAAAAACAGGAACAATTCCTCCAGGCATAATTAACCGTGTTAATTATTATTTTAAAATCTGGATTCATCAAATCCTATTCTCAAGTGGTTGAGAAATGGGGATTCCCATGGAGGATGGGAAGTTGAATTAGCCTTCCATCTTTTCAAAAGCTAAGCATTAATTAAAGTAATATGATTTTGATGAGTTTTTATGGGTGTTTTTCGTACCTCTCAAATACCACACAGCCTGTCTCTTCAGATTCTGATGTGGTCACAATTACCGGAGCATTCCACACAACTGTACACAAGGCTGCAGTGAGCTATGATCCCCTCACTGCACTTCAGCCTGGGCGACTCAGTGACTATACAACTTTAAATGGATTCTGTTTCCAGTTTTGTGTCTTGTGCAGCGATTTTTGACATTCCATAAATTCACAAGTAAATGTGAAATGGAATCATTTTAATTTTGTGAGTCAGCAAATCTTACCAAGAGGAAAACAGAATTCTGACCTTATTCAAGGTAGCTAAAAGCTGAGTTTTTATTTAAACCCTACAGATGCAGTTTTTATTTAACCCTAAGTCCCTGTTAAAATAGGTATTTTCTGTTAATGAACTAAGGTCTTAGGATATCTTCTTTTATTTAAAAAAAAAAAAAAACTTTATTTATTTATTTATTTATTTTTTGCCCAGGCTGGAGTGCAATAGTGCCGTTACAGCTCACTGCAGCCTTGATCTTCTGGTCTCAAGTGATTCCCCAACCTCAGCCTCTTGAGTAGCTGGGACTACAGGCACTTGCCAATATGCCCAGCTCATTTTTAAATTTCTAGTAAAATACCATAAAATACCAGCCAAGGCTAGTCTCAAACCTCTGAGCTCAAGCAGTATTCCCACCTTGGCCTCCCAATGCCAGGATTACAGGCGCGAGCCACTGTGCCCAGCCAAATATTTTCAAATGACCATTTCATTTACATTTCAAAAGAACTCAGGCGTTATATACAAATATAACAATGATTTAGCTTAATGACTTCCTAAAACCATTAAAATCACACTCCTAAAGTATGTATTTTGAAGTTTTCCCAATATGCTCCTTGATATAAATGAAAACTGGTAAATCCATGACCATGTCATACACTTAGTCATCACTTCAGCCATCTGGCTTCACTTTGCTCATCTGTAAAATAGTAGACTAGGCTAGTTGCCATCTAGGGTGCCCCCAGTCACAAAAATAACAAAATTAAATTATTTTCAGAGACATTTTTATCTAAGAGAAAGCTTAGAAATAATAAACACAACATCACAACATCTTCCTTTTCAATAATGAAAAAACTGGGGCTCTAAAAATGACTTCTCCAAGGTCAGGTTAAAGGTCAAGTTCACATAGAGAAATGCTGGGAATGACACACTAATCAGCCAGTTAACAACTTGGTGCTTTCCTCTGTTTCTTCATCTATTCCAAGACATGTTTCTGAAAGGAAAATATCCACTATAACAGAAACTGGAAAAAAAAATTGCCAAGCTACTTTAAAAAATGCCATCATCTGCAGCATTAATATTGTTTGAAAATATTATATCCAGGTAAAAACAAACCACAAAACTCAAAACTGCTCATTAGAGGTATGGTCTAGGGCTTGCTCTTCTTTCTTTTGCTTAAAGCCCTCCTTTCAAAGGAGGATTGATGGTGAATTTTGTGCTACACCAAAAATCATGCAGTAATAACAAAGAGGTTGGTAGTTGCAAGCAACAAACCTAAAAGAAATCTAAAAAGATAAAAATACATAATGTAAAATAACACTAGAAACAGAATAAATGGGTTGCCTCTGCTAAAGAAAACAGTAATTTAAAAAATTTATAGTACAAATTATATTTACCTTTAATTTTATTTAGTTTGGTTTATATAGCTTTCAAATAACAAATCGAATGTCACATATAGATTTTATTCTGTATTTACTGTGACATTTCCTCTAAAAGCTTAACTTCAAAAGGTAAAGAATGAAGGAACACCCTAATCAGACAAAAGTTTCTATCTACTTCTATAAAGGAATACTACACCCTTCAATGTCAGCATAGAACATTATTAAATGATAGGTCTAAATGTTATCCTTGTATTTTATTGGGATCAAGTTATAAAACTTGGTAGGCTCTTACACATCTTACTTTAAAGAATGGCACCAACTTAAATTTTCTTTTTATGGAAGAATAACCTGAAGTAAATTAACTTTATCACCTTCAACTATGCAGTCCAATAAAGCAGACACTAGCCACACGTAATTTGAGATATGGCTGGTATGAATTCAGATGCGCTCTAATGTAAAATTCACACAGGATTTTGAAGACTTAGTGACAAAAAATTAAATTGTTTCATTAATAAACCTATATATTTATTTATAGTTATATGTTATTTTTATTTTATGTTGATATATTATATATTTAAATTTTATATAACTACATTTATATATATTTATGTATAGTATACATTCTGTGGTATATTTAATTATAGTTTTTGTTTATATATTACATATTTTTTATATTTTATATTGAAACAATATTGGAATATTTTGGGTTAGAAAAATTATCAATTTAAGCTGTTTCTTTTTAGTATTTGCTTGTTTGTTTTG